GCCTCATTCCCCTGCTGCCCCTCCCGGCAGGCCCGGCCGCACCCTGGGGGGAAGCTATAAGGCAAACTCACCCCCTCTGTATGAAGGGCTGTGGGAATCACCCATATGGCAACCTTAATTCGGGGCTCGGGGTTCAGACCCCAGCATTTCACCTGTCTAGGCTATGGTAGAAACAATTCATGGCTTACAACTAACAAAGAATACAGGGATACAACACAGTGATTCAGGCTTGTAAAGATTCAGGGCTATGTAGTGACTTTCTTACCTCCCTTACGTGCAGCCGCTTGTTCCCACAGTTTGTCCAGTACAACTGAGTGCTTGGCTGCTGTTTATCTGAACCAGCAGAATGACCAGGTTTAAGTTTCTAAACACCCATTTTTATTTTTATGAAGTACTAACAGACTTTACATTGAATTAGGATTGGGAGAAGTGTTTTACCAGTAATAGGATGGCACTGTTTTAATGAAGTTATATTTTTAAAGGTTGGGGATGTAAAACAATGTTGATGGCAGATTTTGAGGATACCAATATGAACTACACGATGGAATCCAGTTCAGTTCCCATGTTCCTTCTGCACCCACCCAACATTTGCCTCTGAAACCTCTCTGCAACCTCTAAACCTACAACTAGGCATGTTGTTACTGGCTCAGGAAAACTGTACCCATAGCTTCGGTTGGATCTGTGAACTGTTGAGTACAAAATAAAACCTTTTTAAAATTATTACTCTTAAGATTTTGCTTTTCTGGAGGCTACTGTTCGCAACGGGGAAGTTTTATGTACTTTCATCATAAGGGAAGTAATTAAAACTTCTGAGAGTTCCGTTCTTAATGTGTTGTGTTTATTATTTCCTTTTATTTTCTATTTAGACAAATCAGTCTGTGAAGTAACCATTAGGCGAGTCCAATACTAAGTATCCAGCTGATTTGATGAGGCAGAACTGGATACTGCAAGAAGTCAAAGTTTCTAGCAAGGGACCGTTCCCTGATCTGTCTGAGGAGGTTAACTGCAGTTTTCTAGCATTTGCAAGTAGCATGACTTCCTGTGAGGGTTAAATAAAGCCTGACCTAAGAACCTTAGTTGGCAAGCTTTTCGTAGCACTGTGTTAAATAATCTCACTTTTCTTCTAGGTGAATGAGGGTGTGCCATAACAGTGTCATAATTTATGATCTCAGTTTAGAGAAGGCAAATTTAGCTTTTTAGTAGTGTAAAATGATTGCAAAATAGATGCAGTAAGTTTATAGGTTTTATTCACATGAAGTTGTATGAGAGTTTCTTAATGTACTTTTTCTTTCTTTGCAGCTATTGGCTGACAAACAAGGTCCACATTAAACGACCCAGCACTGGTCTCCTCATGTATACGCTTGCCACCAGATTTTGTGATGAAATTCACCTGTATGGATTTTGGCCATTCCCCAAGGATGTACATGGAAACCCAGTAAAATATCATTATTATGATGATCTGAAGTATCGGTACTTTTCTAATTCCAGTCCTCATAGGATGCCATTAGAGTTTAAAACGTTGTATGTGTTACATAACAGAGGAGCACTTAAGTTAACAACAGGGAAATGCATACAGCAATAAACCACATTTAAACTACAATGAGAAGTTGAGAATACACACTTCGTCATAAAGATGTTGTGAAATGACAGTGGGATCCCAGTGAAGATGGGGATCAATGTTTCAATATCCACTAAGCCATTGGAAGGAGGAATTTTATCAGAAGTACATAACCAGCTGTTACACCTGTAAGTGCTGTATAACCAAGCTATCTTGACTGCAAGGGTTTAAGTGCCACTTTCACCAAGAACAAAGCTTGAATGTATACTCAGTGGTGTTTACAGGATCCAGTGACAAATTCATGATGAACTAATGAAGACAAATACAGCCTGCTGACTTTCCACTGGTCAGACAGCCCACAGAAGAAATCCCCAGTGGAAGAAATAATTTTGTGAGCAAATAAACCAGGCTTTGGCAGAAAAGATTGTGGTGGAATTGAGTAGAGAAAGTAAAGACTGTAAGATAAATCAGTAAATATCTTCAGTCAGAGAACTGTTTCTGATCTTGTATTATAACCTCAGCTTTTATTGCTGTTTTTCTTACTGCTGTGGGTTGGGTCTTGTTGCTTTTAAGTATTACAGCCCTTAAAGGATTTTGAGGGTGTTATGACTAGTTAAAAGTATATGTCTTATGGAATTGTCTTAGGAAAAAAATTTGTAAGGGTGGGAGAATGGAGGAAAACATCAAGTATTTTATCAGTTGTTATTGTGTCATATCTTGCTATCGCAGAACCCATAACATCCTAATTGTTTTCTTAGCTACAGCTACCGATCACAGAATGCCCACTACATGGACTACTCAGAGGTGTTTTTAATCCATTTTTAAAAAGAACTTTTTATGTTGTGTTCAGATTTGAAGATGTACAAGAAGGTGCCCTTATTTTTGGTACCAAAGACTATTCTTATACACATTTTTTCCTTACCTTGAAGAAATGGTGTATATTTGGTGTATGATGTTTCCTTGCTCCTGTAGGGAACATACTCTTTATTCTATTTGAGTTTTTGAATTAATAATCTCTAAACAAACTCTCATACTGCATATAGAATTTCATTCTTTAGAAAAATCTGCAGAAGTGAAGAAAAACTCATACATTCATGTATGTATGTATATAGATGTATATAAAATTTTTGTTCCTAACTGAAAGGAAAATACAAAGTCTAAAGGAACTCAGGAGACATTGGAACATGTATAAAGAAGGAAAAAAAAAAAAACAAAATAGCCAATTAAATAGAAAGTTAAAGAACTGCAGATAAAACTGTTCTTTTAAAACTTAAATTTTTAATGGTGTTGGATGGTATCTCTGTCTAATATACCTCTTTTGTGTCAGCTTCATATTCTAACGTGTAATTGAAATACCACAGAACTGCATTATCTCAGAGTAATTTTTCTGAGCATCATTCTTGTTTATCCACAAAACCAACAATTCTTTCACTCTCTTCCTTCAGAAAAGTGAACAAGAAATACAGCATACGCTAAGATACAAAAGTGTGTGCATGTGGTATGTTTTAATATTAAAGCAGCAGGTGAATGAAGAACACCATGGTTCCACCATTTCATGTCAGGCAAGACTAAGGATGAGGCATGCAGATACAACGTATGGACATTTTCTTGTTGGGATTTCAGCTCTACATTTGGTCCTCATCTCCAAATATCTGTATCTATATACAGATATGTCTAGATACATCTATATCTAGGTACAGTAGCTGTATCTATTTAATTTTGAACCAGCTTCAACAATTTCATATGTAGCACAAAACTCACAAACGTTTGCTAGCTAAAATGCCATTTATTGCCCATTTTTCCTCTTAAATTCACATGTATTTCATAAGGCATGACTAAAGGTCTGTGATTATGAAAATTTAGTAGCTTAATTTAGTAATTGAAACTTTAGTAGAAGACGGTTTTGCCAAAATTTGCTGGGAAATAGAAACTCATTCTGTTATATCTTAAGACACAGTAGTACTTGATTTGGCACAAGACATGGCAATTAGCATCTGCTTCCAAGATAGCAGAGTTTGCCTATACCTTCTCAAAACTGGGACTTCAATACTACACACTTCTGGCACGGTGAGCCATGGTCTCACAGCTCTCTACCATCATCCACACTTGTCCTTCTCATAGCACACTCCCCTCAAACTGGCACACAGGTGTGTCTGCCTACAGAAAGAACAGGACTCCTCCCTAATCCATCTCCTGTCTCACCTGCCTCGGCTTTATCCTGAGATGAAGTTTAATTATCTGAATTAAATGGAAAAAAGTGAATGAGAGGTTTCAAACCATCCTCTGAGGCAAGTAGCAGTTGTAGTCTTTGTTCAGGTTTTCCCAAGCACTAGGAGTCATTTTACTCTAGTGTAAGATCTGTGCCCATGTGGAACCCAAACCCTCTGGGGCTCTGGTGTGCAGCTTGTTGTGCTGTAAATTGTCTGTTTTGAGGTGCTTTGTGGCCATCAGTTACTGGTTACTCTAGGGTGACCTGAGGTGGGGTATGCTCAAAGCTTTTGCTTTTAGGTTACAGTGGCCTTCTCACTGCTGTGATGCTGTAGCAATGGATTCATTGCAGAAATCCTTTGTTACTTTTATACCTCCTCACTTTGTACTGCCCTGGGCTTTGCACATTTCTATTGCAGCACCCCAGGTCCTGAATGAAAGAAACATATTGCTTCTACTGTATGACTCTTTTTTTCCTTAAGGTGACCATAACACCAAAGGCTTAGCTGCTCTATAGGGACTTCACAGCGGGATAAATTTTACCCCATGGTCCTTCACTGGGGCAGCAGTCAACAGCTCAAGCTTCCATAGCTGCCTTGAATGATTTCTGTTGTTTATATACATTCATATCTCCTGTGCTCACAGATCAGATAAACAGGCTTTATTATAATTACCACTTTTATCATCCAACATTATCAACCAATAATATGAAGTAAATACGATAAAAATAAGGATCCCTAATATTGTAAATATATCTGCCCTGGCAAGCAACAACTGAAGAATGCCCATCAGTTGAGTGTTCCTCAAATTTATCCTTCCATTAGTCATATCAGTTGCCAGCTGTGGTTCCTAAATGTATGTTAAAAATAAGAACTGGGAGCTATATCAAGAAAGCAGACAGTTTATAATTTTTCAGACTCTTACGGCAGCTTTACATTGAACAACCCAATTTCATTCAGATAAATTTATTGTAAATTGTTTATTAATGTATATGTTAATGTTTCTGTTGCAGAAAGTCTTTCCTGTTTCATAAAAATAATAGATAAACATATTTGGTTGTTAAGTTTTCAGGTTTGGGGCAGTTGCATTTCCAACAGCTCTGAGCCACTCTTCAGATATGAGAACTTGAACCTTTCAAGCCTTGTCTGGTTTACATAATATGATGTGTAATAAAAACTGTACCATTCTTTTGTTAAACAATATCAGCAACGTGTGCTTGATGTCAGCACCCTTTCTCTAACTGACTGAAATGGAAGAAAAACAGGCGTGGGTTCAGTATTTTTTCTAGTGTTTGATCTAGCAGAGTGCTGAGCACTCTTACAGTGATTTTCCTGGCAGTGGCATGTCCAGGATTTCGATGGGGATCTAGATCAGCATATTTCAGGATGTAAGTCTGAAATTGCACATTATTTATTTTTTAAGAGCACTGTTACTTTGTGTAGGGA